CAGCTCCAGGGCTGGCAGCTGTGTCCTCCCTCACATGACCGCCTTGTTTTCTGAGAGATCCCTCCATCCACCAGGACCGAACCAATTTCCTAGATTAAATTTGCTCCGATGAATGGCCTATTTTACATTTTGTTTTCCTGGCTAGACCATGATTCTCCACTGCTCATTTAGCAACTCCCAATCAGCCACAATTGAAAGGAGGTATAAATTACACTACGTACAGTGGCTGAAGTACTTAAGGAGAAAAGGATTGACCTTTGCTCCCATCAGCCTGAGGCTCCCGGGAGAGATGATCCGCATTCAGCACTTACTTACCTTCACCTTAGACTTAGCCGGTGGCCCGAAACGCTGTGGTCTAACCTATTACTCTGCCTTCTGACGCTCGGGCATTGCCAGGAGGATGTGGGGTGCAGTCGGTGGGAACTCCGGGCTGGCCCAGAAGCAGCCTGAGGCAGAGGGGGAGGTCACTGACATCCGGCTGGCTTTTTCCAGGTCTGGGCCACTGGGGAAGAGCTGGAAGTTCCCCCGCCCTAAAACCATTTTCTAAAAAAAATGATTTATTTATGTATGTATGTGTTGGGTGTATGCCTCCTGTGTGAGGGAGCTGGAGTTACACAAACAGGTAGTTGGGGGTCCGGGAACGGAACGAGGGTCCTCCGCAAGAGCAGCAAGTGCTCCTCACCTGAGTCAGCGGTCCAGCCCCCTCCTGTCTCCTTTGATGCCCTGGAGACTGCATCTCCCAGGCAGCCAGGGGATCCCTACTCTTTTGTGTATCTCCCCTCTCTTCACTCTCAGGGTAAGAGCAGCTGAAGGGCGGCTCATGTGATTACCACCGTGCAGCCGGATGCCTTCTCTTTCTCCTGCCTCTGAAATGGCTTCGGCTTACTGCCTTATTTCGTTTTGAGACAGGGTATCTCTGATTGTCCTGGAACTCACACTGTCACCCACTGTTGTTAATTCAAACTCACTCTGTTGGCCCCCTGCTAAATTCCTTGATCTTCCTGCCTCTGCTTCCCCTGTGCTGAGATTAAAAGTGGGTACCACCATGCCTGGCTTAACTATGTTCCTACGATGTGAAAGTAACCTTAGTCAGAGCCACCCGCCACACACACACACACACACACACACACACACACACCTTGGTGCATCCCCTAATACCAGCACAGGAACTGACACAGAATTGTGAAGTTCAAGACCAGACTGGGCTAGATAATGAATTGGCATCTCAAAAACAAAAACAAAAAACAAAACAAAACCCCCAAACAAACAAAACAAAACAATGAGCAGGGCAGTGAGTGCTGGCACACACCTTTAATCTCACCACAGCAGATGCAAGAGAATCTCTCACGTTTCCGATCTCTGCCTTTCAGGCCAGCCTGGTCTACAGAGAGCCAGTGCTGCATAGAGAGGCTCTGTCTTGAAAAACCTAAAAAATAAAACAGCCGTCACACATCAATCATGTGACTCTAGCATCATCCTAAATTTTCATCCTTATGGAAATTCAGGTAAACTACTGCCTCCCATACTCTCAGGACATCTCAAGGGCTGTGTAACCTGGTCATCAAATGGATCCTGGCACCTCACACCCTTTGGGCCTTGATCTGTTGAAGCTGTCATGTTGCCACCCAGTTACACCCAATTCATACCTATAACTATGGTATAAACGGAAATGCTTTCATGTTTTGCTTTTTTTTTCCCCCCTTCAGTACTAGGGATCAAATCCATGACTTCACTCATGCTATTAAAACTCTTTACTTCTGAGTACATCTCAGCCCTGTAAACGCTTGTTCTAACTACTGTCCTGATGTCTCCTGGAAGGTGAGACCACAAAAGGTAATGAACTGATCATGGACCAACTTCCAGGGCCTCTGTTCTTGTCACTTGAACAGGGCTTTTCCGGACTTGCCTGAGTGCTGTGGTCCTGATTCCCTATGTGTCAACAGTGTAGAGTCCACAGGTCTCCCCAACTCTAAGCATTATCTGTGGGTCGGCTAGACAGCTCAAGTCAGGCCGAGACCTATGGGTGCTGGCAGCTGTCTCCGGCCCCCCAAAGGGGAGGAGTCTTCAAGATCTTGCCTGGCCAGAGAGACAGGTCTGGCTTAGGGGTTTACAGAGTGGAGGCTCCATGTCAGAAGGTCTCACCCGGTCTGTGTTTCCACAAGGGAAGCAGATGGTTTGGGAAAATCCAATTTAAAAGGAAAGAAATTGAATTAGTTCTCCAGGGGTCTAATGGCCAAGACTTGAGTGGGGACAATTGCATTATCTGCTCAGGACTCACCCTCAAGCCAGCATGAAGGCAGCGGGGGTGGAGTGGATGAGGGGGTGGGGTGGAGAACAACTCTGGGTCACTGAGGCCTGGATGGATTAAGGAAAGAAAAGTTGCTTGAAAAGTCCTTCCATGGGCCGCCCTGTCTTCTGACTTCTTTTTCCTCAGACCTCCTGCTCTGTAGCTTACATGAAACTAACAGCTGACTTGTTTCCACAACCAGAACCATAGTGGCTTTCTTTAACTGCTGCAATGGAGAAGGGATGCAGGGCCCTAGTAGAACTGTGGGACCTGGAAAGCTACCTTTGTGCTTACCTACCAAAATTTACCCAATATACAATATACCATTTTCACCACACTGGCCCTCTGTGTCTTCACACATCCCCAAACGTCATTATCTCAAACAGAAATCTCTGGACTCATTAAACAGTAACTCCTGGGTCAGCAAATGGACAGCTCCGTGGGTAAAGGTGCTTGCTTTCAAGCCTGAGGACTTGAATCCCACCCACAAGGTGAAAGAAAAAAAGCTAACTTTCACAAGTTGTCCTTTGACCTCCACAAACGAGCTGTGGTCCAAACCCTTGCCTTGGCTAAACAGACATATGCAATAAAAAGCTCTTAAAAAAACAAAACAAATGAGCCAGGCACAGTGGAGCCTGTCTATGCACTCGGGGAGGCAGAGGCAGGCAGAGGCAGGCAGTTCTCTGAGTTCGAGGCCAGTCTGGTCTACAAAGGGAGTCCAAGAGAGTCAAGGCTATACAGAGAAACCCTGTCTCGAAAAACCTAAAACAACAATAACAAAAAACAAACAAACAAACAAAAAACTCAAGCAAATTTCTATTCCCCTCAACCTAACCCTGAGTCCCCTCTGATCTACTTTCTATCTCTAACTTTACCTATTTCAGGTACTTCCCGTAATTACGGATACTCACCCTTTCGTGTCTGGCTTCTTTCACTTACCACAGTGTCTTTAAGGTCATCCACATTGCACTAGTTTTCCTTTTTAAGACACGATCTCATGTATCCCAGGCTAGCCTCAAACTCAGAGACTACCTCCCAAGGGCTGGCTGGGATGAGAGGCTGGCATGCATCACCACTCTCTGCCCTTAACATTTTGAGTCTCTCGTTTTGATGCTGCTGTGTAGCCCATGCTGGCCTGGAACTGATAATTCTGCCTCAGCCTCCTGGGTGCTGAGGTTACAGGTACAGGTATGTACCCCCATACATTTTAATAATTAAAAATTAAAAAAAAGCATATGACGGTTTGTGTATGGCTGTGTCTCCCAGGAAGGCCGGACACTGCTGGGCCGTAAGTGCCTGCTTCTCCGCCGGAAAGTCCCACTGCGGGAAGGTGGCTGGCAGTGGAGTCTGGGGGTCCAGCAATGAATTCTTCGGGGAGAAGGGGAGTCCTTCTTTCCCCCAGTGTTACAGCTCTGAATGAGCACCCAGTCTGAGTAGATAATGCGTGCTGCTTTATTTCACGTGAAACAGGGGCTTATAAGCCTTGGGCAGTGGGGAGGGGTTTTGAGGATGAACGCACCTCATTGGCTGGTGCTCAGGATGCCGGCAAAGCGCTCTTTACACCAGGGAGAGCTAACAGGTGAAAAGCTCACATGACGGACCCCCATAGCCGCCTTGGGGTGGGGTCATGTGCTCCTGAGGCAGGCACAGACACAAGAAAGCTTTGTCCCACACCTTCCATTCTCAGCTTTGGGATTGCCCGGGCTTGAACTCGCTCCATCCTCGCAGATCTGCACCAGTTCCTCTGGAGGTACGGTCCATGAGCTCACGGCTGTTCTGTTTGACAGTATGTCTGTGCATCCTCTGCACCACATGCATGCCGGCTGCCCAGAGGAAGGGCACCATATCCCGTGGAACTGGAGTTCCAGCCGGTTGTGAGATACCATGTGGGGGCCAGGACTCCAACCTGGGTCCTCTTGAGGAGTGGCCAGTGCTCTTAATCCCTGAGCCACCACACTTCAAAAAAAGAATCTAAACTGAATCAAGGATGGGGAATGAAGATGTTTCCCGTGCTTCTGCTCAACTTGCTGGGCTCTGAACTGAGGGCCCAGCCCAGGCAAGACTCCGAAATACCAGAGACAAGAACAGACACCACTGCGCGCCCCTGCCGCTTCCATCTGGTTCTCGCTCTCCTCTATCCATCAGTCCTCTCAACTCCAGCGTCTGTGTAGGGCCAGACTGTTGCGGTGAAGCCCTGAGGGCATGTATCTTGGGGTGGCTCTGTTTCTTTGATTAAACCCTGATGGATGTGTGCTCACTTAGCTAGTCTTCACGGATGAGAACACTGAGCAGTGGCTATGTCTGGCTACCAAGGTCTTGGTGCTGGAGGCACGAGACTCCAAGAAACAGCACACTGCTGAGTTGGGGACTCACTCTAGTGTGGACTCTAATACTAAAATTTTGTGACATCAGGGCAAAATCCTCCTATTTATCACACCTCAATTTCCTTACCAGTAGGTGAGAAGACCCCATCTTCCAATCTATCTCTCATTTAGTGCCCTGAGAATATAAAACAGCCGAAGGAGCATTTGGGAGGGGTTTGAGGGCTTCCTGGAACTCCAGGCCAGCCTGATGTACAGAGAGAAATCCAGGCCAACCTGGACTACAGATTTAGAAAACAAACAAACAAACAAACAAACAAGCGGAAAAAATACTTTTAACCCAAGCAGTTCTAAAAACTAATTTAAATAAAGCAATAGCAACCCATTCTAGATATTGTTATAATCTTTTATTATGTATCAAATTGTCTTCAATATAACTTACAACCTGATTAAATCTGATAGATACTTTTATCTATTTAAAGGAAAAAAATTCTCTTTATGTACAACATCTTCTGTCTAGAGTCTGGCAAATATAGTACCTTTCATTGCAGGATTTTTGCTTAACATAACAAGCAAAAAATAAACAACAACAACAAAAAAAAAAAAAAAAAAAAGAAAGCAAACTGAATCCCCAGATTCCCTCAACTACAAATGTCAATAATGAATAAAGCATTAAAAAGATGAACACAGAATAACTGTTGTTTAGAAATGCATAATGAATACTAATATTAGTGGCAAAAAAAAAAAAAAAAAAAAAAAAACAAACCAAAACAAAAACAACAAACGGCCCAGACGGTCTTCAGGGCCACCGTTCCTGCTCGGGGTGGGGGCGGACTCTAGACCATTTCTCGGCTCCTGCGGATGGCGCAGCACAGGATCATGCTGAAAATCATGCCGAAGATCTGCAGAGACAGGAAGAGTGGGGGGTGGGAGGAGTGCCTGAATGAGAGGGAAAGAGCATCACTCGGACCAAGACAAACAGCCAACCAAGGCAACAAGGTCCAGGAAAGTAGGAGAGACAGAGGCCAGAGAATAGGAAGGATGGTGGACAGCCAGCCAGCTGCTGAGATCCGCAGCATGAACCATTTCCTCAGGGTGCATTCAGAGCGAGACCCTGAAAAAGCAGCTTTAAACGCTAAATCCAGTGTCTCCGACACAGCATGCAGATTGGGAACTCTCCCCGCCCTCCTGTCTTTTTCCTGGTACTTGGGAATGAAACTGGGGCTTGACCAGTTCCAGCAAAGGGCCCTACCTCCGAGCCTCAGTCCCAGCTCACACTTCCCAGTAGTAAAAAGGAAATGGTGATGGCACCCACCTGGCCAGGCCAGCCAGGGTTGCATTAGCTGTTGAGCCTACAGCACTTCTAACAGTGCCTGGGCACAGCTTACTGACAGTGCCTCTTCTCTGGACCACCAGCCACTTACCATCACCACGGCGATGCCGATGCCCACTGCTCCAATGATGTGGAACTTGTTGTTGAAGACCTCATTGATGACTTCCGGGCAGGGCTTAGAGAGGTAAACAAGGCACAGGGTCAGAAACAGCTCTCACTTTGGGGGTGTTCCTCTTCCTGGCTGGCTTGCTGACTACCTGTATCATGCTGGGAGGCCTGGTGGCCAGAGGGCCAACTGGGATGGAGGTATTTGGGTATCAGCTGTCCTGGTGGGTGGACCGAAGGAGGAAATGGGAGATATGGGAGGTAGGTACTTCAGACTTGAGAGGATTTCGGAGAAGGGGGAGGTCTGAGGTCTCTTTCCTTTCTATTTGCTTTTACGTGTAGGAGTGTTCTGTCTGCGTGCATGTGTGTGCACCATGTTCGTTTCTGGTGTCTGTGGAGCTCAAAGGAGTTTCTTTAAGGTTAGGGACCCGGGCAGCAGTGTTCGGTCCCAGGTACCTGTAGTTGTGGGAGCTAGGTAGGGGTCAGTTATATCTCCGATCTGGCCTTTGTCTTGCTGCCACCTGAGGAGAGGCCTCTGGGAAGAATGTTGCCAAACTGTGCCCTTGCAGGGTTTGGCTTAAGCAGCAGGGCAGGGTGCTAGGTTTGTGTCTCACATTTACCTTAACCTGGATGGTTTCCATAAAGTCCTTTTTGGGGCAGATGTCCGTTAGAAAGTTCTCCATAGCACCACCTATACCACAGCAGTTCAGCTGCAAAGAGAAGGCAGAGATGGGGGTGAGGGGGGAAACAAAGATAAGGGCCACGCCAACTCGGTATAGAAATACGAGTGCGGATACCCTGGGGGGAGGCACCAGCAGGGTCTGTGGTTTCCCCTACAAAGGTGACCTACCGCCATATGGATGGCTTTGAGTGTCTCCCGCTGGGGCTCGTCCTTGTTCCTCAACTTGTGGTAGGTGTCTTTGTAAAATTCCTGGACTTCCTTAATCACCTGTGACGGACAGACAAAGCGGGAGCAGAGATGGGTTTCCTGAAAACTTTCTCACAGGTACTCTTCAAGTACTTGGCTAACTGCCACCAGCATTGCCTTTCTCGGCACCATTCCTGCTTCGGCCTCCAAAGCGCCCGGATGGAGTAGCCTTGGCTCTCCTGGACTCACTTTGTAGACCAGGCTTGGCTGCGAACTCACAGAGATCTGCCTGCCTCTGCCTCCCCGAGTGCTGGGCTCACAGGCATGTGACACTCTGCTCAGCTGGTTTATTGGAAAGAGGGACCTCCCCAAAAAGTGTCCCTGGTCCTTTCCTGTCTCTGCAGAATGTAAGGTACCCCACCTTCAAACACTGCACTGCTGTGTCCCAGCCTGGCCTCCAGCTCCTTAGAGACCACCCTGGAAACGAAAACCCTGACCCTTCTTTTGCCCAGAAGTTTCCCGTTACTCCCATTTTCCTCTGAAACCCTGAGCTCAGTCAAGGTATAGGTCCACACTCCTTTCTCTACAAACAGGAAGAGATGCCCCAGTCCAACCTCACCTTTTAAATCTCAAGGTACTCTGGTTAGAAACGACTGGTGTGACATTTGTTAGACATCTTTCTCCCACACTAGATGGCAAAGTTCCTGAAAGTGGGGACCAGGAACCCGGATACTTGGGGACCTTGATAGCATCTGGTGGGGTACCTGTGGTATGTATTTATAGACTGGAGAAAGGGAGTCTTTTCTGATGACAGAAAGCCATGTTGTTCCGAGCAACCCTTCTAGGGTTGGGGGAAGGGCTGTTTAGCTGTGATTGACAGACACACAGATGTGTGCACACACACACACGCACACACACACACACACGGCTTCCAAAGTGAATAATGGTTCTTGAACATCTGCTATGTGCTAGCCACACAGGGCAGGCTCATTCCCAGCCACTAGGTGTGTATATATTGTTCCTACATGGAAATATACACAATAAAGGAGTGTGTTCAGCGGAAAGTCCAGCAAGTAACTAGCCTGGACCCTTCTTCAATCTTCATCAACCCTCCTCCCGGCTCAGAAAAATCAAACCATTGTAGGACCCAAGAGGCTTATGGGAAACACCTACCTCATCCTTGTGAGTATAGCCCCAGACAGCTGCAGCTATCTCAATGGCGAATATCACCAGGAGGAATCCGAAGAACTGGAAGACAGGGGATGCGGTGAGAGGGACTCTGACAAGTCAGTCAGCAACACCAAAGCGATGTAGAGCAGGCAGCATGTGGGTGGCGCAAACGAACAGGCAGGAAGAGGGTGACAAAGGGGGTCCCATGGGGTTCTGGAGGAGAATGTGGGGTCAGCTGCCCCTAAACTCGTATTTGGAGGGTATTAGTTTGGAGCTGGGCAGCAGTAAAACACCACTGCCCCCACACGAACCCCATGGAGAACTAGGAAAACAAAGGCAGTGCCTTCACTCTGTGGAGTTTGGGCAAGAGAGAAACCATTTTTGAAAGAAGAGGGAGAGAAGGCAAAAGTGCTTGTGGATGCAGGGGATAAGAGCAAAAGTGGTCTTCAAGAAAGGGGGAAACAAAGTCCTGGCATTTAGCTGCCTAAGGGAAGTGATGAGGGCTCCAGAAATGTAGGGGGTTAATGCCTGCCATGGGGAGAGACTGGGGCCATGGGCAAGATGGTGGTGGGAGCCTGAGCAGAGCCCAGTAAGGAAGGGGTGCCTTCCTTACTCCATTCATTCTACCTATCCTAAGCACAGGCCTGGTGACATTTTGGGAAAGGAATGGGATTAAGGTAAGACTGGGAGTACAGAAAAAAAAATACTTACCAACCCCAGCATGCACTGGGACTCTTGTACAGCTCCACAGCAGCCCAGGAAACCCACTAGCATCATGAGGGCCCCAGCTCCAATCAGAATGTACACTCCTGAGGGCAGGAGGGAGGGAAAAGACACAAGTTTGGAAACATTAGTCTGGAGGCCCAGGCCTCTTCCCCTCAGTGCCTCCTTGTTGACTGCACACAAAGCAGCACTCTCCACCTCTGCTCTATCATGCCTACACTCTACCTTATCCTTGGCTTTCCTAGAAGGGGTCTGAGGACCCTCAGATTCTACTTAGGAGACAACCCTGGTACAAAGTGCTGTTTCTACCCAGCAGGAGGTTGCACTTGAGCTAATTTACCCAGACCTCTCAAATAAGGGCTAGCTGCCAGGACTTGAAAACATGATTCCCTTAGAAATCCTTTCTGCATGCTGCCAGCACCTAACAGCCAATGCTGGCTAGAGTTTCTTGTACTAGTACAAACGACGCAGAGGCCGCTGTGTGTTATGAAGTCAGAAGATCTCTAGCCCCAGCACTGCTGCTAACCACTGAGCGGGCGCTCTTCAGTTAGGATGTGTTTCTGAGGCTGCAGAGATGGCTCAGTGGTTACCAGCACTTGTTGCTTAACCACGAGGACCAGACACTGGATTCCAGGATCCATGATGGGCATCTCCCAGATGCCTGTAACTTTAGCCCCCACCATGCCCTCTCTTGGCACCTCACATTGCACACACACAAACACACATGCACGCACACACATCTTAAATGCCAAGAAATCCCTTCAGCCCACTGAAGAGATCTTACGGTTGGAATGAAGTTACTCGAGCTTAAGGCTGAAAGGATTTACCAGTCTAAGGGGAGAGTGAGCGATGCCAAGTCTTCAATGTGAGTGGTTAACGGCGAAGACGGGGAGGGAGTAAAGAGTCTTTAAGTCCTGCCCACGCCCAGACAATACAAATCCCTGGATCTGGAATCACAGCGGGGCAGCCCTGGGTACACTTATCCCAGCTCACTATGGCTATGCCCACAGCGTCCATCATACAGGGACACTCTTGAGAAGCTACAGTTGTTGAGCAGGGACTACCCGTGTGGAGCCTTCTGTCCTAAGTCCCCTAGGAAACCATAACAGACGTGCAGGTGCATGCGCGAGCACACACACACAATATATATATATTCAAATGATGTGTATGTCTCTAGAGGTTGATGTATGTCCTCATGAATGCAGTTGTCCTTGGAGGCTAAAAGAGGGTGGTGCAGCCTGGAGCTAAGAGTCCACACGTGCACACATAAATTTAAAAAGAAATGACTGGGACTTGGGGTGAGTACATACTTACTGAGTGTGAGGCACTGGGTTCAATTTTCAGCACCACAAACGGCGGTGTGTGTGTGTGTGTGTGTGTGTGTGAGAGAGAGAGAGACAACAGTGCAGTATCCTGGAACTACTGTGATGTGTGCAATGGTGTCATCCACATAAGCACAGGGCCAGGGCCAACTGTTACTAATCTCGATAACATAAGGGCTTGGCAACCATTGCGAAAAGCAAGTGTTGATTTTAATGGAGGGGATGCTCTCTCCCTATTCTCCCACGGGTACCAGAGAGAGTTCTTCAACTAGGGGCTGAAAATGAGAGGGGGTGGGAGCTCTGATGCCTTCTCACAAGACACAGCACACTACACGGAAAAAACTTTTGGCACGTGCCACGGTGATTACTGTCCCCCCCGAACCTGCAGCACCCACCCAGCACAGGGCTGGACCCTGCAGCCAGGAGACCGTGGGACCGGCCTGCAGCTAATGCTGCTCATGGGCGGCACAGAGCAGAGAGCACACAGTGGGCATTTGTGCCTCCCTCGCCTCCTCCCATCTGCCGTGACGTGAGGTCACGTGGGGTTACTGGCAAACCCCACGGTGGGTGAATACGGGTATTGTTCCTGTGCATGCCTGGCCCAGACTGGGCAAGGGGACAAATGCAGATTGTCCTCAAGTCATCTTCCTAGCCAGTCAAATGTAGTGGGGGGAGGGCGGAGACTGAACTTGGGAGGCAGTACAGTCCCGTGCATGGCCCCTGGGGAGGAGAGCCAGCTGCCAAGGGGACACCAGGGAGTGAGGCAGTAGTACAGCCATGGTTTCTGACTGCAGCATCAGGGCAAGACAAGGAAGGGGGAGATCGCTCCTTTGAGCTGCAGAGCAGGGGCTGAATCGATGGGGGCTGGGGTGGTATTAAGAGATCGAAAGGATTCAGAAGCACACACAGGAGAATCAAATGCAAACAGACGGATGCATTTTTTTTGTCTTGTTTTGTTTTTTTTTCTGAGTCCACACTGCGGTATGGGAGCTTGGATACCCTGGCAAAGCCAGGGCAGCTGGGGTAGCTGTGAGTTCAAGAAGAGGGTTCTCACAGGACAGATCCACTCCAGAGAGAGTTTTAGGGTAAAGCGCCTGTAGGCTTTCGATCTTGTTCAGACAGCTGCGGCTCTGGAGTGTCTCTGTCAGGAGAAAGGCAGCAGCAGCCCTGGCAGCAGCCTTTAAGTCATAGAGTGGCCCGAGCCTCGTGAGTCATGGACCTGTTGTGAGCCTCAGATTGTATCTGCTCACTATGGTAGCCCTGCCAGGCTAGAGCTCAAACCCAGGGCTTCCTGAAGGCAAGGCACTGAAGACACTCACCTAGGAGCTTGGCCCCAGCCTTAGGCTTGTTTTTGAAAAGGGCTGACCCCAGCTTCCTTTTGGGAAGGCTGCTCGCAGCCCCACCCCCCACACTTGTTAGCAAGGGCTGGCACTGATAGATGACAAAGTGTTCCCTTTTATAAAACAAGCGAATGTTAGCTTTCTGTCTGACTCATGGAAAAATTTGTTCGTCAGGCGGCCTTCCTCAGGATCTCCATGCTAAATTGTTTAAGGGCTGTTTATTGCACATCCCACCCCTTGGGCTGACATTATAGGTCTATTTAAATGGGGTGGGGGGGGGAAGGAGGCTCAGCAGTAGCATATGTCAGGGTGTCCTTTGCACAGGAATCAGGGTGCCCTGGCCCACCTGTGTGTTGGACTCTGAGCTCAGGCTAGGGAGGACACGGCAGCCTCCCCTGTGTGGAAGAGGACCTGATCTTCTAGGCTCATCTTCACTTGCTTGAAGTTCATTATCCCCAACTCTACTCCCCCCTCCCCATTCTTGCTTTCTCTCTCTCCTGGGGCCGGTTACTCTCATGCAGAAGAGCCTCACTGGCCATGGTAACTCTCAGAGGGAGGGGTGTGGTTATGTACGAATTCAGGTGGGGAAAATGAGGCTCTGAGCAGGGAGGACACTTACACCCAGAAGGTTCCAAAGGAGGGATGGATACACTCACAGCCTCTGGCTAGACCTCCTAAAGTCCTTCACTGCAGCCATGATTCTAGAAGGACACCACGGTAGGTAAGAAGAGCTGGGGGCCCCGGGCCAGAAAAAATGTGGTTCTGTGACATGTTTGTAAGCCTGAGATGGTGTCCTGCTGAGAGGATGAGCCTGCCAGGGCCTGAACTGGAGAGAAGGCCCATATAAGGCTATCACCTGTCCTGAGGGCTTGCTTCTCTGCCTCATCACACACCATTTCTCAACTGTGCAAGCTGTGGTCTCATCCCAGCAAGCATGAGAAGTCAGCTGTGCAAGGGTTGGCCACCCCCATGATGCCAAGAAAATCACCCTGGGTGAAGCTCGCACTCCTAGCTCACGTGTTGGGAGGACTCTGGTTCACAAAAAGGGCAGGGCTCATAGTCCAGTGACAAGGGGGACACAGAGGACAAAGCTTCCTTGACCCTTTGCCCAGGGACAGCAACTTCAGTTTCCCAAAATGTAATGGTCGTCCAGGCAGGGCCCACCGCCACTTGGTTTCCCGATGTTTTTGTGTCTTTGCAGTAGCCCCTTGTCCCTGAAAAAAGAACAGCATCTTCAAAGCTGAACGCTTAGAAGGCTTGGTGGCATAGGCCTTTAATACCAGCTACTCAAGAGGCTGAGGCAGGAGACTACAAGTTCAAGGCCAGCCTAAGTAAGTTCAAGGGCAGCTTCAACAACTTAGTGAGAATCTGTCTCAAAGTTTTAAAGGAAAAGAAGGCTAGGGGTACAGCTTAATGGTAGAGAGGTGCCTCGTGTATATACTGCAGGCCCTAGGTTCCAGGAGCCTCCCATCTCCCAGATCAACAACAACACCCTGAAATGCTAGCCGGGTCCAGCGCAAAGGGGCTGAGTGCCGACAGAGCTGAGGAGACAACGGATGCCAGGCTCCAGTGAGGGACTGCTGTCTTCTGCAACTCTTGCTTTCAATCATCCTCTGGTCTCTTTAGGAAGGACCGATGAAGGCCATTTAAACTCCGTCATAACCAGCATGATTAGAACTCCAGGAGGAAGCCCGGTATGGTGGCACATGCCTGTAATCCCAGCATTCAGGGAGGCAGAGGCAGGCGAATCTCTTTGAGTTCGAGGCCAGCCTGGTTTACAAAGCAAGCCCAGGACAGCTAAGGACTACACAGAGAAACCCTGTCTCGAAAAACCAATCTATCAGCCAACAAAGAACCCCAGGAGGTTCCCAGAGCTGGGCTCTGGCTCCTCCACTCCCGTGGTCACCGTTCTTGCCTGGTGATAGGTTTTCTTACTTATCACCAGCTGACTAAGGCCACAGGTGTGGGGGCTTCTCCCTTAGCCTCAATTTGTGTGAAGTCAAAAAAAGCCCAGAGAGCCTTGCCCTGTTCCCAGAGAAGGAGCGATGGTCACTGTTTGCAAGTGGCCCTCCACCTACAACCCAGCACAGAGAATCCCAGAAGGAGCTGGGGTTTATGTTTGAGGGACAAGCGTTTGGGCCAGGGTCTGGGCTCTCTAGGTTGTGAGACGGGAAATACTCCCTGTTCCTCGTAGAGTTGCAGGGATGGACCCAGAGAACTACACCAGGAAAGGGTGGGGCTTGGAAGTGGTTTCTTCCCATACCACCCAGTCACCAGCGAGAATCTTTCTTCCCATATCTAAAAATATACTGAGTCCCAGATGATGGGAAGAACTACTAGGTAACCAGGAGTAGTCAAAAGGACAGGAGGCCTGAGGACTCGGGACTCCTTCAGAAGATGCAGGGGAACTGTGTGGGGCCTTGCTCAGGAGATCAGCCTGAAGAGGTTCCCATTCCTGTCTGTGGACCTGCTGTCCCCAGGGAGTGAACTCACAGCTCCCTTGTGTGCTGGGGCATGGAGTGCGAAGGGGGTCCCCTCAGCTCCCCACTCCTCTGTGGAAAATGCCCGTCCCCCATATCCTACTCCCTCCTGCTCTCTGCCGTGGCATTCCTGCTCAGAATCAAAGCTCTGTTGCTAAAACAAGTCAGGGCACTATGGAAACCCGCTCCCTAAAAACTCTGCTTGTAGTTTAAAAACAAAACAAAAGGCCAAACCATAAGCCACCGAGTGTTCTCTTTTCCACTTTCTTTTTAAGATCAGGGCAGCGTACCCAGCCCTTCCCCACCCCACCGCTGATGAACAATAATAAAAGACAGGAAAACTGAGATCTAGATGGAGAAGTCAGGGGCTTTGTGACTTAGTTCCTCCCGGCTACCTGGCCAGCTAGAGGGAAAAGGGAAGCTGACTGGAACCATGGCCCCTGGTCCCTGCAGCCTGTGAGATGATAATCCTGTCAGGATGCTTTCTTGTCTTTCGTAAAAATAACTTCAGTGGGTGGAAAGGAAGTGACAACTCACGCTGGTCTGATGGCATGACAGGATCACCCTAAAAATAGGGGGCTTCCTACTTCTAAACCAGGCGGAGTGGAACCAAAGGCTGAGTTGTACGCAAGCTGGCAGCTACAGGAAATGGTCCTCAGTGGCACCTCCTCTTACAGAGGCAGAGAAACGGGCTGAATGGAGCCAGGAAGGGCCAAGGAACTGTGTAGAGAAAGCAACTGCCTGGTTCAGGCTCAGGTGATTCCAACCATACTGAAAGGGAAAACCCTTCCCTAAGGCAAAAGCAGTTTTCCCAAAGGGCAGGATTTCTTTTCTCTCCCTTCCATGTTCTCTCTCTTTCCTTCCTTCACCTCTTTGTTTTCTTTCTGTCACTTGGCTCTCTTGCTTACTTAGCTTTTCCTTTGACCTCCCTCTGAGGGCCTCATGTAAGTGCCTCCAGAGGACCCTCCCCACCCCCATTAATCTTTAAGTTTGATTATATATCTAGGAAGCTGGTCTGGAGAGATACAGGGAAGGGAGCCCCTTCTCTTCTGGGCTCTTCGGATGCACACTAGGACAAGGGTTTCTGACTTGAGATGATTATGCTAAAATTTAGTTTGGAGACACACAGCATTAGGACCAAGGTTCCCACACCCTCAGGAGTGGTAGCAGCAGCCTGGCCAGACCCAACTTCACCTCAGAGAACAGTCAGGCTGCCAAACTCAGCTGGCAAGAAAAGAAACCACAGCAGCCCGATGCAAATGCATGGACAAAGCCACCTAACTTGAAAGGGACAGGACTGGCTCATGTGGCCAGCCCCTCTCTCTCCCAGGCCCAAGTCCTCAGGTCGTCGTGACGTCCCTCTCCAGAGCTGAAGTGCCACCTCCTCGTCTTACCTGTGTAGAAACTGGAATGATTACTTTCTTGCTCAAAGATGCTCTTGGTCTGAGAGTCGAATCGGAGCCAGAGTCCGATGGCAAGCACCGCAATGCCGGCGAGCTGCAAGACATTCAACACATCGAATGGCATTAGTCCTGGCTGCCTGGGCTAATGTGCTCAAGGAACGCCGAAGAGACTCGCAGAGGACTCTGACACCATCCTCTCCTTCTGCCCTCCAAGTGCATCTGGCAGTAGCAGAAAGCGACCGGAGGTGTGTGATCAACCGTGTGCCAAAACTATCAGTAGGCCGGATTGGATGAACAGCTCCCTACCAGAAGCACTGCGGTTGGCGGGCACAGAATCCTACCATGCAGCAGTGAGGGTGAATCACGATGGCTACGAGGCACTACAGATGTATCTTACCGTGTTCAACCAAAGCAGGAACCACTGAAGTCACACACTAGCTACACACCAGGGCGCGGTTTAAGCTGCATATAAAATGTCTGCCATAAAGGTGATAAGCAATTAAAAAAAATAAACAATGATTAGGAAGTGAGTGATGAGCTCAAGGTGTGGGGAGGAACTGATGAGCAGGTGGGTGAGTGTCTGGAGTGTTTAATAGGATGTTAAGTGATATTTTTACTTGTCGAGCTGTGTTGCTCAGGCATGTCTTGAACTACTGGGCTCTAGGTATCCCCCTGCCTCAGCCTCCTGAAAGACCAGGACTATCCCACAAATTGGTGATTTTTTTTTTTTTTTAACTAGAGCAATGATAAATGCGTGATCACATGATCACATGCTGTTAGCAAGGCCTCTGCCAAGCCCCTTCATCCCCAACCCCAGCCAGCTGACCCCTCATCACCGGTACCGGGGCTTGCTGGGGGAGTGACTCATAGCACTCCAGGGTAGTGGCCGGCTGCACGGGGGTGACAGAACTGGTTTTGGCTGGTCTACATACCAGGGACACTTAATGCCACTATACCTTGCCCCAGGAGCTGAGTGTCTCCGCTATGGTCAGCCAGATCTCCCTTCCTCCCAATTCTGACCCTTCTCCTCTACTTTACCCATGATGTGGCAATTGGATCGGGGGTACTGAGTGCCAAGTGTCCACAGTGACGGCGGGAAGAGCCACCCAGGACGTCAGCCTATATAAACCACCTTGCCTGTACCCACGGAGGTGCTGGCGGAGTTGGCATCCACACTGAGTTCCCACAATGTGGGTTGTATTTCCTGGTTTACAGTCCTGCCGTTTCAGCCTTCCCATCTGTAAACAGGAATGGTGGATGTGACCTGCCCCTGCCTTACTGGCTTGGCCAGACAATAATGGGCTTATGTTAGAACTACAAGAAGGAGGCACCTAATGGACTGTAAGAAAGCAACCCCACTTTCTCAGCACAAGGTCACATGACCCAGCACCCTCCATTCCATGGATGGTCAACCAGCATCTTCCCACACCGATCAGTCCACCTCTTACATAAGACTTTGCTAAACACCAGGAAGACCCCAAGGCCAAGTGTCCCTGGCTCGACACAGGAAGGGTTCCCGAAGGCCAGGCTTGACAGGGAAGGAATTACAGAACCTGAGAGCTGTGCTTACGAAGACACAGGTCATGTTTTCCTTCCTTAGCAAGACACACGGGGAAATGATTTGTACACATAATTATTTGATACACACATCCACCTTAGGCCATGGAATTTTTTTCCTATGGTGAAAAGGGGGTAGGAAAAAAAACACAAGAAGCCCTGGCTTAAGGATTTTGAAGTCCTGCTCCTTTAGTCTGTGGGCTCAGGTGGGAGGAAGAAATCTGGGTTAGAAAGCAGGAGCTCAGCAGGAAAGAAAAGTCTCAGGGTCTAACCTGGGCCACAGCTGAGAGCAGAAGTTGATCCTAACCTTCGGGCTTCACCCACAGGCCCCAAGCCTAGTGTCATACTACTGGGCTGTCTACACCACAGTGCTACACAAGTCTAGCAGCCTAACCATGAAGAAACAAATGCGGATGGCTGCAGAGACTTGGTCTCACTATGGAGCTCTGGCTGTTTTGGAACTCACTCTGTAGGTTAGGCTCCCCTCCAACCCCCACTCCCCACCCCCCTGTTGTACACTACCAGGCTCAGCTCTTGTTCGGTTGGGACACAGGTTTCCCACTGTGCAGCCTGGCTTCTGAGGAACTTGCTGTTTGTGGCCCAGGCTTGGTTTTGAACCTTCTCTTGCCTTTCTAGTTACTGGGGTTCCAGGAGTAGCTTACTTGCTGCCATTTTTGTTGATTCCTGGTGCTAAGTGGCTGGAGGGGTACGCCCTGTATGTCATTAGCTGGCCTGTTCTGTGTGATAGAAAGACAGCTCTGGCTGGCTAGGTCAGCTGGGGGGAGGCGGGGCTGTGAAACTTGAAAAACTCACTTTTGTTTACTCAGGTAACATTGTTTAAGGAGCTCTGAATTCCTCCTGGGGAAGCTTGCTTTTGGTGGCAGTGGTTGGGGTACTTCCGTTGCCCCCTTCTGGCTCCACCACAGGAGAAACTAAATGAGAAGGGACCAGTAGCAAGAACCAGGCAGCTTTCACCTTTAGAAAAGCATCGTGTCAATCAGTTACCAAGGGACCCCACAAGGTCGAGACAGATCTGCCTCTGCGGGTTCCTGTGCAATGGAGAGTTAGGTTAGGCCTCTCCTGTCTGCTATGCTGTATGTGCACAGGCTTCTTGCTGGACAGTATTCCCTTAGCAACACCATATAGGCCTTACTCAGCATTTGGAGGCCCACAGAGAATGGCAAGTGAGGCGCCAGTGGCTCCTACAGCAATGATCCTGATCCATTGCACACAGTGATGATCCACTAGGGACTCCTAGCACACTAGTGAAGTCTCAAAATGGAGGCTAGGATGGTGACTGCTTCCCCCTTCCTTAGGGAAGGCTCCTGAGGTGACCCTGACCCCCCCCCCCATTTCCTTATAGCTGCACCAACCTGACTGATGGTTATTGGCGCTTGAGGCTAGCATGGTCTGATGGGCCCTTCAATCGTATAAAGGCTTTTCGCACTCTACAATAAAGTTAGATCTGCACCTTTGAGTCTGGATTTTGCGTGGACTCTGTTGCCGCTCACCCCTTTCCCCCTGTTCCTGATCCCCACAGGCAAGAGCTCCTAGGTAAGGATAGGAGCACAAGTTCCTGGGTACAGCAGGGAATGGCTATGTATACATCTATGAGGCAAAAAGGTTGAGTCTCCAAGCTCCTGCCCCAGGACCACCCTTCCTTGATGGCCTGTATACCATTCAACTGGAGCCAAAATGAACCCTTTCTCTCTCGAGCTATTTTTGTCAGTATTTTATCACAAGGGGGTAAAGAAACCTGACAAAAGTTCCTTTACAAGCCAACTACTGGACAGACATGTAGCAGTCATGTCAGCCACCAAGCTGCCCAGGCCACTGCCACTGTGTCCGTCAGGACATGACCTGGGCAGGTTTGATGCCGATGCTCCCACAGGCCCTTAGAAAGGGGCCAGCCCTGAGCCTGCTCACCAGCTGGAGGGGACGAAAGTCCAGAGGCAGCACTCCAAGCCAGAGGCCCTGCCTACGGTTGGCCTCATTACCTTTTTTGTTTCCAACAAAAGCCAAATGGAAACAGTCTGGTTTTGCTGCGAAAAGCTCCTTTGCCATCTGGCCCCAAATGGTTCCATCCATGTGACAGTGAAGGAAAAAAGGAGTTTCTTCCATTGTTTTACTGGGGCTCGCTTTGTTTTGTCATTCATACGGATTAAGAAAAAATAGTATTATAGGATGGGCCATAAGAAAACTGAGACAAACCTAAACTGCATACAATCCACAAAGAACTTAGACTGGAATTTTTTTCTCCCTCTTTTCAGTTTTTTTTTTTTTTTTTAAACAATATATGTGTGTGTGTTTGTATATACTTTTGTGTATGCTACGGCACATGTGTGGAGGTCAGAGGACAAGCTGCCTCTCATCTTCTGACAGGGTCCCTTATTTGCTGCTTATGTAACCACAGTGGCCGAGAGCTTTCTGTGGCTTCCCTTCTCTACCTCCCATCTCCCTAAACTCCAGTGCCATCACCCCCGGTTCTGGTCCTCACATCCTCAAGGGTGTTGGGGAGCCATGTCGCTCACCCATGCTTTTTGTTTTGTTTGTTTGTTTTTTTTTTTTGGACAAAGTTTCATTAGGTAGTCTAGCCTAGCCCAAAACTCCTCCATCCTCCTTCTACTTCAGTCTCCCCAGTGCTAGGTGACCGGTATCTTTATAAAAACTGCCGGGATCATGAGAGCAAGGAAAGTCGGAGGCTGTCATAGGTCACCAGAGATTTAGGACGACGCTGCTGTTGTGTGGGATCTTGGGTGAGACACTGGGACAGAAAGGACACTAGTGGAAGTGAGCGTGGCACTAGTTAACAGTAATGTGGCAAAGCCCAGTCCACGTGGGGGTGCGAGCCTGTCCTCTCAGTACCTGGGAAGCTGGGGCAGGAGGACAGAGTGCCAGGCTCCATAGCGAGTTCAGGGATAGCCTGGGTTCTAGCCTGAAAGGTCATTTCACAAAACCTCCGCCAATTTCAGATAAACCCTGAACAAGAAGCCATCGAGGCTGCGGCAGAGGAAACAGGGGAAAAGGGGTGACGTGACAATAGAAGCCTGCGGAGGCTACTCTGCCTTGGCAATGGTCTCCGCAGGTCTGAAAAGCCACTGGCGCTGTGGCCTGCCGGTCTCTCCCCCACAAGGCTTGCAGCTCCTCCCAGGGCTGCTCAGTTAATTAGCTTCTTTACCGCCTCTGTCTGTGCCAACACCACACTGGCAGGACTCTCAACCCTAAAAAAAGCAAGAACGAACAAAATGGAAACCCAAACTCTCTTTCTTCAACTTTGCTCCTCGACACTGTCCCTTCAAGTCCTGAATCCACAGTTCAGTTGTCCCACGCAGCTGACGATAAGAAACCCAGGCTCCTCCTCTACCTTTGATGAAATCTCAGTTTCCCAGACTCAGCCCCAGGGAATCCCTGCCTCTGACCACCTAAGTCCCTCCTGAAATGCCCCAGCCACCTGAACTGCTCTCATTCCAGCACCCTTACCGAAGGTCTCACAGAGCGCATGTGCCTTAAGGTCAGATTGAGGTCTTTATTCCTTTT